TGTGTGTGTGTGTGTGTGTGTGTGTGTGTGTGTGTGTGTGTGTGTGTGTGTGTGTGTGTGTGTGTGTGTGTGTGTGTGTGTGTGTGTGTGTGTGTGTGTGTGTGTGTGTGTGTGTGTGTGTGTGTGTGTGTGTGTGTGTGTGTGTGTGTGTGTGTGTCAGAAAAATGTGGAATCGCCATGACTGAGTTCACAGACAAGGAATTTACATTGGCAGGAAGGTGTGTACATAAAACCTAAAAAAGAGCAATATAAATTATACTAAGAGGGCTGAGGGGGTGTAGGGATGGTAATATACAAAATGCTAAACAAAATACAGGTAAATAACAGTGCAATAGAGCAAGTATTGTAGTGCAGAATCAGGCAATGTGCAAATGGAATGGGTCAGAGTTCAAGGCTTGTGTGCACCCCTGGCCTTGTTGAGGAGGCCAGTAGCACATGGAAAGAAACTGTTTTTGTGGCGTGCGGTTTTGCTATTTTGCTATATATATTTTGTATGAGGCATTCCAAATGTCTGCAGATACATTAATTTTCATCAAATTCTGTGCCTTTCTTTTGAACCCCCGGTTATTGTCACATTTATTTGCAGACATTAGACTTTATTTAATATAACAGCTGTAGATTTGGTTGTTGGGTGGTTGTCAAGCTGAATCATAGCTTTAATTCTGTGCTTTGAACGCACGGTTCAATTTTGGTATGGCTGTGTAAATGGAGAACCTTGAGAGGCTTGTGTTGATCACAGTGTCCTGGTATTGGTTTATAGTTTATTAATTTTCTGATTTGATGTTTCCCACAGCTACACTTACTGGTGGTCTGAGGGGATCCTCTCCTACCTGCCTCTACCCTATGATGAAGGTAATTATTCATCACTTCTTGGTTGGAAAATACAGTTTGTAAGTGACCTAAATAAATAAATGCAGAAAAGTCTTGATATGGCGATGTATGTTATTCTCTGTGAGGATACAACTAAGGTGTGTGTGTATGGCATTATATGTGTATATTCCTAGTTCACTGTGAAGACAATATGAAGAAGGTTGGAGTAAAGAGGGTGAACCGTTATGACGAGAGCACAGACACGTACACAGAGTTCTTCAAACCCTACGAACTTACCTCCTTCGACGACACCTTCTGCATCGCCATGACCAACTCTGCACGGTACCCTCACCTTTACACATTCACACCACCCTTTATGCCATTATATGGGTCACAGCCAGCTAACTATTTCTCTTGTCAGTTTATACAGTGGATATGAAATGCCAGGTCTTTGTGTGAATAAATGAGGGAAGGATTAATCATGTCAGAACTTTTTCCACCTTTAATGCAACCTATTACGTGAACAATTCAATTGAAAAACAAACTGAAATCTTTGAGGCCACAATTTGATCATGGGTGTTTTTTTTTCTTGTGGTGAATGTGTCCTCCGGATACGTAGGGAGTTTATGCCCAAGACTGTGGGAGTTGATCCCAGCCCTTTCACGGTCCGCAAGCCGGAGGAGACCGGGAAATCTGCTGTGACCGGGTAAGCGTGTGTAGTTGTCCAGGTCTGCTGTGCACGTGCTCTTGTGTGTGCCTTCAGGTATTGCTTTTAGTCCATTTCTGTATCATTCTTGATGCTCAATGTGCCCAGAAGTCACATGCTCAAAAAAACATAAAAACAACACCCTCATTTTCCATTAGCTGACTCATTCATGTGCTCGAAAACACACACACATTTGGAAGCCTTTTATAACACCTAATTGTTGAGCTAAATACTAGTTGTTTTTGCTTACATATTTACCTAATTAATACTTGCATGTTTTATTAACCTTACATTAATGGGTTGTGTTTGTTTATTTATTCATCATAACAGATTAATCACAATTACTAATTCATGATGGCGTGTCCGGTATCAGTCTCTCATAGAGTGTTAAGTTTTCTAGGTAGCCAGGCTGCAGCGGTGTCCATCTGTTGGAGAGTGACTGTATTTCTGTAAAGTCTATTGTTTACAACTGAGATTTGTCTGCCAGAACGCCTCTTCCTGCCCACTACCTTTTTCCCACCCCTCCAGCACTTCTTCACGTGTTGCTCTCTTCTGCAGCCTCCGCTTTCTGCTACTTCCAGGGATTTCTCATGCATTGTTTGTTCTCAGCACTTTCATATTAGATTAGATTCCACTTTATTGTCATTGGACAGTACAAGTGCAGTACAACAAAATGCAGTTTGCATCCAACCAGTGCAAAAGAGCAGTGCAAAAACACATGGAGTACAGTGTAAGGATGTGCAATTGACATGGATAAGCAAATGTGCAGGTTTTCAGTTCACAGAAGAACAATTGTGTAAATGGGAAAAGTGTAGTACAAACGATAAGCATTGTGTAAAAGGCAAATATAATAAATAGGCTAGCAGTGTGCAGGCAAAAGGTAGCAATGGGGGTACAACAGTACATTGTGCAAATGGCAGAAATAAGTAGCAGTGTGAGTGCAAGGCAGAGTTCAGTATGTTTACAGCAGTAGGGAAGAAACTGTTCCTAAGCCTGCTGGTGCAGGTGAGAAGAGATCTGTAACGCTTGCCTGATGACAGTTTATGGCTCGGGTGTGGTAGATCCCTGATAATGCCACATGCTCTCCACAAACAGCGCTTGGCCTGGATGTTTTTGAGCTGGGCACCAATGATGCGCAGGGCGGTTTTCACCACCCGCTCCCGGGACTCCCGGTTGGCCGCAGAACAACCGTTGTACCAGACTGTAGCACAGTTGGTTAGAACGCTCTTGACTGCGCAGTGGTAAAAGTTTACCAGAGTGTTGGTAGATAGGTGGGCCATCTTGAGCTTCCTTAAAAACCAGGGTAGTGGTGTTGATAGGTCGGTGGAGAAGTGGACACCCAGGAATTTGTAGCTGGACGCACGATCCACTGTGGTCTCATCAATGAGAATTCGAGCATGTGTAGAGCTATTTGTCTTCCTGTAATCCACAATCAGTTCTTTGGTTTTCTTGGCGTTGATGGCCAGGTTGTTATCTGCACACCAAGGTGGTTGATCTCCTCTCTGTAGGCTGCCTCGTCGTTTTAAACCCTTTCATGTTCACTACATTTTGTGGTGTTTTATGTTTTAAATTAATAATGTATAATATATCATAATATATAATTTAATAATACATTATGAAAGAAAAATGGAATCTACATTCAATATACATTTTATCCAATTTGTTGAAAGTGGAAGTATTAAGACTCTGCCATGACACTCCAAATTAAGCTCAGCTGTGTATTGTGTCCTTGGATTATCTTTAAGATATCTTTAGAATGTGATTCACGTCTAAGTCTAGAAATCAAGTAAAATCATTTGAATTTGAAAAGGCACACACCTATCAGTAAAACGTCGTCCGGCCAAATTAAGTTACCTGGCATGAAGGCCCTTTTTCAGGGCGGTGATCAAGGTCATAACTTTAGAGTTTCGCTGCAGAGATGGAAGAATCTGTCAGAAGGACAACTTTATTTGCAGCACTCCGTCAATCAATAATTTATGGTGGAATAGCTAGATGGAAGCCTCTCCTAAAAAATAGGCAGATAACATGCCAGGTTTGGCTAATTACCTGGCTAGTTACATTATCTGGCTAATTACTATCCCTATGGTAAACCCGGAGGTAGCATCTTCATCCAAATGACCGTGAGACTGGTTAGGATGGAGGGACGGATGAACAGTCCAAAACACACAGGTCATTTAAGAAAACCTGATCCAGAGCAAACAGGAACACAAACTTGGGGGAAGATAAATCTTTCGGCACGACAATGCCCTTCAACAAAGAACTGAATAGAGGGTATGAATACTTATGTACTTGATACATTTCTATTCTTTAATTTCAATGTATTGGACACATTTTGTCAGAATATTAATTTATTCAATACAAGTCTATAACGCAACAGAATGTGGAGGGTCTTAATAATTTTTGCAGGGACGATATTTATTCCTCGGTCCTTGTTAGGACTGGCCCGAATGCTATTTTACAGGCTTCGAATAATCCTTCTCAAAAACTCTATTAAAAACCCTTAAAAATTAATGTTTCATAATTAAACATAAAGGGGCGGCATTGCTGTATTAAAGAATGCATTGCCTACAGGTGATTATGCTAATTAATCAATCGCTATGATTTCTGTTTCTCTCTTTTTCCTCCATGATAGGGTTCACAAAATGCAGTGTCCTTTAGGTTGTTTTTTAGGTCAATGGTTGTGATGTCTTGCGATGCATCTATTATATAATAATAATTATTAAGCTATCAAACTTGATGCTAATAGGTTTAACATTGTGTTGAGCGTGAAAGCCGAGTTACTGAGTGATGAAGAAATGTATTGTAGTGTAGATTTGTTGCAAAGTCATTTCAAAAACAAAGCTTCCCAATGCTAAATTAAGATTTGCATTTCAACTTAATGAACGAATACTCCAAAGGCGTACTCCTATGGGGGGGACAGGGGGACAGGTCCCCCCCAATATTCAAAGAAGGACAATTTGTCCCCCCCAATATTTGTTCATACTGTATGATTATGCAGGCAATATCGATGTGACTGCTAGTACATAACGTCTTTCTTTTCAGCATCGAAAATATCAAATTCCGGCCGGTCCATTTCCCAAATCCATTTGACTTGCCTTAACCAATAAATTAACTAAAGTTATTTCTCCTGAAATCCAGGTCATGTTTTCCCTATACCTTTGTGTTCTTGTGAGCGCGGAATGAGACAGACATTTGGCACATGGATGGTATTCAGTATTTGGTGAACATAATCCCTTAGATAACGACTAGTGCATTTCACTAGAATTTACAATTGTAGTATTAGTGCGAACTTCGTTTGCAATACTATACAGCTTTTATGAATGGGACTTTAAAAAAGCCAGCTGAAACCTACTACCCAGGGATGGACTGGGACTAAAAAAGTAAAAGCACATATTTCAGCTTAAATGTTGACGTTTAGCTGATTTAACTACATCATACCCGTGGGCAAAAATAGAATTCAGAAAATAAAAGCTTAAATCAGCTTTAATCAATAAAAGATTCGAACCTGCGCCACCAGATCCATAGCCGAGCGCACTAACCACAATTTCAAACAAGTAGTTATATTTTCAGCCGATTAATAAAATATTTGCATGTCCCGAAGCTGTCCCCCCAATGTGTGACTGACTATTTCGCCCTTGGAATACTCTAATAGTCTAAGTATGCTGGCCACCCTTAGTCCTTGCTAATCACATTGTTTATTACCTTTGAAGTTAGTGCATCACGAAACCAGGCAGTCGGTGTGAGTGGATCCATGTGTTTACCAGTGTGCTGATTTCTGACCTGTCCTACTGCTGTGTGTGTCTGTGTGTGTAGTTCCAAGAGCAGTAAAGAGGAGGCAGTGTTGCAGAGAAAGACCGCAGCAAGTGCCCCCCCACCTCCCAGCGAGGAACAGCTTTCCAGCAGCTCTGAGGACGACTCGGAAGATGACCGCGACGATGACGTTTCGGTGTCTCAGCGCTCTACTCCCGTGAAACTTCTCACAGAGTCTGGCGAGAGCGTCCGAAATCAGGAGGTATGGGATAGCACGTACAAACACACAGGTAGCTAGAAGGAAAAACCTCAGAGGGAGAGGGGGAAGACAAGACAAAAGATTTTTGTGTTTTTGTCAATTAGTGTATCAATCTGTATTTCTTTGGCCATTTAAAATAAATGATTCCGTGATGCGCATTCTCCTCTCTTCTAACTCCTTCAGAATGACTTTTCCCTCTTTCACTTACTCTCGCTCTGTTCCATTTCAGTCTCTGTGACCTTCTGTCACTCCCACTCTTTCTGTCTCTCCCTCGTTTTTGTACCCCTCTCTTTCTGCGCCGCTCTCACTCACAGAGATGACCATGAAGAGTTAAAAGCTCTAGTTTGGGTAATAATGGTAGAGTAATCACGGTTTGTTATGGTTTGTTTATACTCCCCAGGACACATTGATAGTGAGGATTGGTTTTATTAGACCGGCCGTACATGTTGCTGAAATGCTTTACAAATGTTCTGCCACCCCCTGTCCATTTTAACCAGTCACGTTACCAGTTAGTTATTCTAACACGTTGCACCAATAACATTGCATCGGAGTGAATCACGAAAATCTCTTTTCAGCTGTGTTCACGTGCGCTCCGCAACAAAATCAGGCTCTCTCGTCCCTCTAGTGACTCAAGGTCTCTGTCCGTGTTGCCATGAAACCCGGTCTGCCTGAATATTCTCCTCAGTGAGAGAGCGAAGGGGAAGTCACCGGGTGTCATGTTTTTAACTGGACAATCTATAACTGCAGCGGGGGACGTGTTCCATACAGCACACTATTTCCTATGTAGTGTACTAGTTCTGACAGGACCTTTTGCGTGCACTTCGAGGGGTTTGACCTTCCAATTCTGATTTTTCTACGCCATTCACCTCACGTGTGAATTCACACACTTCTATATGTCTACACGCCTACCAACGTTTATGTTAATTTGCCTGCTGCTGAGGCTTTTCTGATTCACTCTTTCCTCTCCCACCAGAATCTGTCCTGCAAGCATTGCTCATCCTTGCATTCCCTCTAACAGTCATGTATATAGGAGAAATTAAACGCAACCAAAAAATTCTATGAATTAAATATTTTTGTGAATCAGCAGCACTTTGGCTTTTATTCTGCTTCTGTTATTTGTCTGCTGTTTGCAACTGAGGGATGGTCATGAATATTTCAGGATGGACAGTTAGCTGTCAGCTCACGTGTCAGCGCTGCCCACACACACACACACCACTGTGTCTCGTGTCGCTGCCTGCTAGCTTGTCCCTAAGAATGGATTTCTGTGGCACCAGAAATGCACAAAACTGATAAAATATTTAGATTCAGATCATTACCTTGCAGCTTTCAGTTTGATTACACACACTAACTCCATATCTCCCCCACTTTTGGTGTGTGCACATGCACGTGTTTCTGTGTGTTTGCACAGCTTTATCCTTGTATTCAGCTGTGTCCCTCAACTTCCTTCCAATTTTCTCTCCTCTTGGGAACAATCCATGGGGCCATACCAAATCCATAAACTTTTAGTGGAAATTCGTATGCATATCTTGGTGACACACATTTATACTTGCCCTCCTAACATCTCTGCTTGGAAGCGTGCTCACCACCTCAAGCTCACCCTTAACAAGGCAGAGATGCTCTTTCTCCGGGAACAGGCTAGTCTGCTTCAGTCCCTTTAAGCATGACTGAGACTCGCTCCAGCAGGCTTATGCTGGACAATAATTTGTCATCTCACGTCTGGACTACAACAACTTCTTTAGATGTTGTATTAGGAGGGTAGCATACATATACATTTGATTGAGGTTTAAGTGTAAATATACATTCTCATCAGAACATGTGGAATGTCTGCAGGACTGTTAAAGTTGTAAAGTCAGTGGCTTAGGACGTCCGCTGTTTCAGACTCTGTTATTTATTGTTTTATATTCTTTGCTCCAGCCCCTAACATTTGACACCTTATTCTACACAGGACTTCCTGGAGCAGGACTTCCTGGAGCAGTCTATGAAGGAGTCCTACGGACTCAACCTGGCCGTGCACCCAGCAGAACGAGACATGCATATATATGAGAGGTGAGACCACACACACAGACAGTGTTAACAAGTGCTTCCCTACATTGTCTGAAAAAGACTGATATGTGTATGATAGTTGACCATATGCAAAAAGGATCCTTCATCTGCCATTTCTGGTCATCAAATGTCTATGTTAATGGACACAACATGGTAAAAGCTAGTTGTCTCATGTGGTAAGTGTTCCCTATGAAACAAAGTCACTCTCTGAGCAAGCAGTACGTTTAATTGTTCTATTGTTCTCCTGTTCTCTGGAATTATAATGAAGAGGTAAACTGCCGTGACCTAAGGGAAGATGGGAACATGCCTTTCCACGTCACTGTTTGCGCTCCGAGCGTGTTTGGTTGAGAACGGCACACCAGTGCCCCATTGAGAAGCGCTGTTTTATCGTCATATTTCATTTCTCGCCCGTCCCACTTTCACATTTTAAAATGCCTCCTCCTCCATTAACATATAGACACAATGTGTTCTTGAACATGCTGTCCAATTGCTTCATCTGTTTTGCTAGTCCACATAACAAACTAGTTTCCCACACACTACCTCTCCATGGATTGTGGGTAATTGGAGGGACGGCTGCTGAGTGCAGTAAGGTGTGACCCAGTCCACACGCCCTTTCAGAGCCTCATTCAGATTTAATATCACGGCTAATGAAGGCTAATGAAAACACTCAACAGCTAATGTCACATGCTGTGGAAAGATAGAATTGACAAGGCCAATGGCCCTCAATGATAACGACAGGATGGAAAGCAGTGGTGTGGTTACATGGGTGGCATGGGGTGGCATTTGCCAATGTCAAAATGAATCATGGACACAGAGTAGAAAAGAACTGCTCAATCTGATGTAAGAAACATAGAATGATTTGGTAGATGTTCATATCTACTCTAATACATGTCACATATTTATGTTAAAGTGTTTGAAAACGCTTTACGATCAGTCGCGACTACCAAGGCTAATGCCAGACATTGCTTAGCAGGGCTCAATATGGCTCAGCATTTCACATAGCTACATTCTTGTGACAAGCTATGTCGGTTTCTCAATAATATTACAATAGCATCCTTATGTTTACAAGCTTGTTGTTTTCTGGTCCGAAACATAGGTTATATATTCTTAACAGACGAAATGAAGTAATTTACGCTATACAGATACATTTAGAACGGTGGTTCACGGCCAATATAGTGGGGTGTAGGGGGTTATATAATCTGGGTATCTGCAGGTTTTAGCAAGTTCAGTGTAAGTGTTTTTGTGTCAATTTTAATGCCTCTTCAAATTCTACTTTAACAATAATATAACAACAACCTGTGCAAATAATTCTTAAGGACACCAGCAGTACGCCTCGCACTCTCACTGATACGACCAAACAGACACTTCATGTGTGTCATGTTAATTCGCATTGTGCCAAGTTTGAAAGACTGTTGCAAAGAACACAGTGGGCTTAGTTTTCTTCAGAAAACAAATGTGAGGTTGTCCAACCACTTCTAATTGAATTTGCACTTTGCCGTGGTACCTGCGAGATGTTTAACCAAGCCAATATCTACTATAATCAGGGTTCCTACGGGTGCTTGAAATCCTTGAAAGTGCTTGAATTTTGATGATGTGTTTTCAAGGTTTGAAAAGTGCTTAAATGTTGGATAAAGTGCTTGAAAATGCTTGAAATTGTAACTGTATTTATTTCACAGCAAATATCTAATCTGCATGAATAGTTCGTTATTTAAATGGAGAGAAAAAATGTTGGAGATCGTAAAATGAAACCTGCTGCACTCGCTTATGCATGTGTGACTGCGATCTGCCAGTCTATTCCTTGTGTTCCTCTCCCATGGTCAAGACTCTGTCGAGAGAGGGTTTTCTGTTAACAAAGAGGTGATGGTGGAGAACCTGCAAGAGCATTCTCTTATTGCTCAGCGGATCATTCAGGAGCATGTGAACCATATTGGAGGGCTGCTCAACATAGTCTACACAAAGGAACTACTCCTCTCTGCAGCTGCTGCCTGGCAGAAATACCACAATTATCTAATATTAATATATGGATGACCAAAAACGTCGAAAAAAAGATGAGGAGACTGCTCAGAAGAGAAAGGGAGTAATGGAGAAGATAGCTGAGATCAAGGCCAAAAAGAAGAGAATGGAGGAGGACATAAGGGTCCTTCTGAAATCTGCAGATAGTAATGCAGAGAAAGCTGAATCGGTTGGAAAACTCAGCTTCATCTCGAAATCAAATGGTCTTCGCAGAGCTGCAAAAGAAAAACAAAAAAGTCTGGAGGCTGTAGAAAAATGGCTAAATGACAAGCTGAAGGAGCTCAAAGACACTCCTTAATAGGTCCTTAATGTATTATTTGGCTTAAACGTGCATAGTTCGGTGTTTAGTGCAGTGTTTTGTTTTATTTAACAGAGTAAGTTGATTTGTTTAGTTTTGCAGTATTTTGTTTGGGCAAATTAATTTTTATTTATTTTTGCAGGATAAAGTCCACCAAAGTCAATTTTAAGTTGATTTTGTTGAAAACATTAAA